GAGCCAACAGGGGCCAGGCTGCAGTTCAGACTTCCAGCCTGATGGGGACACCTGGGGGTTTGCTATGGGGAGGGCTGATGGATTTAAAGCTTAGACGGTTTCTGTAACATTGCAATTCACTGAGCTAAGGAGCTGCCACCCGGGACGCAGCCTGATGTTTATAAGAATTCCACAGCTTTATACTGTTTTTGAAAAATCGTGTGCCCTTTTGCTTGTCCTGAATTATCCTTTTAAGGACAAGGGAAATAGCAGGGAGGAAGAGGAGCTTTGGTGGTGTGAGAAGGGCTAATTCCTCTGTTACGTGGGGAACAGCTTCAGGCAAATCACTTAACATCTCCCAGACCTGGTCTGCTCCTTTGGAGTGCAGGTTACCACAAAACTGACTTCACAAGGTGATGGATAGTGAGCGAGGTGCCCCCCTGCTAGGTACACTGTGCCTTTTCAAGCTTGCTCACGATTTTTTTTTTTTTTTTTTTTGAGACAGAGTCTTACTATGTTGCCCTCGGTAGAGTGCAATGGTATCACAGCCCACGGCAACCTCAAACTCTTGGGCCCATGCGATTCTCTTGCCTCAGCCTCCCAAATAGGTGGGTGGCGGGTGCCTGCCACAATGCCTGGCTATTTTTGTTGTTGTCATTGTTTAGCAGGCCTGGGCCAGGTTTGAACCCACCAGCCCCAGTGCATGTGGCTGGCACCCTAACCACTCAGCTATGGGCACCGAGTCCCTGCTCATGATTTTATAGACTTGCTCCTGGCTCCTTTCAGCTGATCCATGTGGTTTGAGGGGTCTCAGTTGCTTTGGTTAGAAGGGGGTTGTCCCCTGTCTCTGCTCTTCCCAGCTCTGAGTCAGGCACACCAGCCTGAATCCAGCTCTGCCTCTTCCCAGCCATGTGGTCCTGGGCAAGTTAATGAATTGTCTACGTCTCAGTCTCCTCATCTGTAAAATGGGGAGAAGGTGATCTACTGCATGGGGTTGGCAGTGAGCACAAGCCTGGCCTGTGCTTGACATATAGAGGAGATGAGTAGGGGAACTTCCTGCCGTCAGTTCCAGCTCCCCTAGAGGCCTGGGGAGAGGACTCCTTATGGTGTTCCAGGAGGATCTGCACAGAGGCTCCACGCAAGGGCAGGATTGAGCATTCACATTTGTTCAGGGTGCTCCAGTGATGACCAGCCTGGGTTGGGCCAGTCTGGCTGCAGCAGCTCATCTGCCAAAGGTCTTAGTGACTCCTGGATCTCTTCCCTGTGAACCCTGAACTCACGATCCTATAAATAGTGCTTTAATGGTGCTTCAGCGACTTCTCTGCATCTATTACTTTGTGATTGCATAACCTGGAGTTCCTTTACCACTTCTCTGCCCACTCATACAACTCTGTGAGTGCTTTGTCAAATTTTTCCGTGCTGGGATGCTGTTTTCTAGAAGAGGCTGTGTTTACAGCAGAAGGAGCACAGGCCTTAGAATCCTGAAGCCCAGGTCTAAGCCCTACTTCTGCTTCTCACGGGCTGGAGGCCTTAGGCAAGTTATTTAACCACTGAAATCCTTCATTTAGTATGTGCAGGAGAGAGAGAGAGATACAATAAGTCTTCCTCCTTTTGAGCCCCAAATATGCTTAGAAGATAGCACATGGTCTGGTGCATAGTTAAGGGTATAACTATTTTTGGCTGTAATAACAACAATAATACTGTATTCATTCAATTAAGCACCTTCTTGGGGGCTGGAGATACAGTCGTCAACAAAGAGGCAAAGTTCTTGCGCTATGGAACATATATTCTATTGTTTTTATCAATTATTAAAACAATATTAAAATAGAACCCGCTGAGTGCGTGACATAGTAGATACTCAAAAACTATTCATTATTAACGAAAGAGCTTCACAGAGGGCCTGGCATGTTACTTAATAGGAGCTGAACAAATGGTAGTTATTTCTGTGATTTCATAGGCCTGACTTCAGGAGGGGACTCTATGGACTAAGTGCATCTGGGGAGAGTGACCAGGGGAGTTAGGGGACCCAAAGTGATGTCATGTAAACTGCGTGGACTCTGCAGGGAAGAGAAGCAAGGGCCAACAGGAGCTTGGACATGGTACTTTCAAATGTTTATCACATCCCAAGGAAGAGGCCAAGGACCAGGCAGAAGAGGAATGTTGGAAGTCACAGAAAGCCCTTTCTCTTGGCAAAGGGAAGATTGGTTTTTTTTTTTTTTTTTTTTTTTTTTGAGATGGAGCCTCAAGCTATCCCCCTGGGTAGAGTGCCGTGGCATCACGCTCACAGCAACCTCCAACTCCTGGGCTCAAACGAGTCTCCTGCCTCAGCCTCCCAAGGAGCTGGGACTTCAGGCGCCCGCCACAATGCCTGGCCATTTTTTTTTGGTTGCAGCCATCATGGTTATTTGGCGGGCCCGGGCTGGGGATTCGAACCCGCCACCTTAGGTGTATGTGGCTGGCGCCTTAGCCACTTGAGCCACAGGTGCCGAGCCAAAGGGAAGATTGTTTTAAGCAACCAGAGCTTCTGGGAAGAGAAAGCTTGTGGGGAACGGGCTATGAGGTGGCAGGGCCCCTACAACCTGGGGAAGCATTCAGGGAATGACCCCCACCCCCAGCCACTTCTCTTAGATTAACCTTCTTTTCACCTGCCAGAAGTCACGTAGCCCATGCATACTTTCCTTATTATCAGCTAGTACCCAGTCTTTCCTCCTTAAAGTTAATCCTTACCCCAGGTGTTAAGATTTACCTTGTTAAAGATAGTTTATAAATAAAGCTGCTTCCACAGTTTGGTACTGGCCCCATCAGCTGCGTCAGTCCTTCCTGACTCCATCCTAGCTCTTAACTCCCGTCTTTCTTGGCTTTATTTCTCTATTTCTTAAGACAGCCAGTTCTTCTTCTACCCCCACCCCAAGACAGGTGAGCAGCTGCTAATGAAATTTATTTCTCTAATTCCACTCAAGTCAACTCTCCCTCCTCACTTTGGTTCTCCAGAGAAGCGGGGTTAGATTGTGAAAGTAGTTTCGGAGGCAGACAAAGGCAGGGCTAAATAATGGCTGTAAGCACCCTGGAGAATTCGGCAGAGACCCCATCCCCACCCCTTGGGCAGTGCAGCCAGAGGAGGGAGGCAGGAAGAACAGGTGGGGGGGATGGTCCTCTCAAACATCGGGGCTCTGTTTCTTTCTCTGTTCTGTGTGGGAATTCTGCATTAGATTTCAGTGGGGCAAAGTGTCTAAGGCGGCAATATACTCAGAGAAACCACTCACCTAGAAGTTGGCTAAGGCTCTTTCTGAAGAGTCTGCTATTAGGCTGAAACTTCTTGTGTTTCCTCCCATGGATAAAACTAATCCTAGGCCTGATTCACTGATTCTCTAAGCCGATTTTCTATCCTTGATGGTTTCCTAGTAAGTTTTCCTGATCAGCATTAGGTAGGAAACTTTATCTTAGTCTTCTCAGAAATCTAACATAATTATAGCCACTGGCTTTCCCTTTGTTCCTGGCTGAGTGACCCTTTTCAGCTCACTGACTTCTTTGAGCCTTGATTTCCTTGTCTGTAGCATGGGGCTTACAACATCTCAGAGGGTGAGCATCAGACTCGAGGCAGATTCTGGACATGAAAGAGCCTCAAATACGCTGCCTTTGTATTAGGTTAGAGACGAAACGTGGCCACTGTTCTCATTCTTAAGATCACAGTGACTCCCAGTTAGGATAGGTCCTCCCAGAAGCCTGACCACACCCTCCTCTCTGGGCTTCGGAGGTGTGCTCATGGGTGATATCCCAATGTCAGGGTGAAAATGGGGTGAAACCGAGGTAGCTGACCTCAGCTGCAATTGCTGACATCAGTGGGTGAATGAGAGGCCTGCTCTGCCTGGGGTGAGGGAAAGCATTTTCACCTGCTCCTGTTCCACCCTTAAAATACCCAGAGCTTAGGGCCTGAACCTTGCATACCCTTCTCTGAATCCCCCACAGTATCTTGCCAGTACCTAGCACCTAGTAGGTGCTCAGGGAACACACACTGAGTGAATGAGTATGTGCAGATTATACAAGAAGGGTTTGAGAGCATTGGACATGCCTAAAGCCTGGGTCAGCCCAACCACACCAGCCGACAAAGCCTAGCCAGACTGATGTGTAGGATATTCTGTGACAGATGTCACTGCCACCCCTGGACAAGGCCCATCTCAGTCTCTCATGCCCTTGCTCCAGTGCTTGTTTCATTTGCTCCTGTCTGAGGGTTTGGGGTTGCACCTGGATTATGCCAGGAAACTGGGAGCTGTTCTGCTAGCCAGGAGGGTAGGAGAGGACTGCCATGGTTATGAGGCTTATTTACAAATTTCTCTGCTGCCGTCATGAAGGTTAGTCAGAGCACAAGCTGGAGGTGGAGTCAGATGTATCACAGGGGGATTGTCACGTTGGCTGTGCTGACTCTCCCCTGTCCCTGTCACTGTGGTTTCCAGGCAGGCTCAGGCCCATTCCTTCCGCATAACTAGCCCCATCTGGGATGAAACACCTTGGTAACACCTCAGCTGGAAGGGGGCATGTTTTCTAACTTGGCGTGAACCTTGTTGTCAGGGTCAGATAAATAAATCAGCACCTGGCTCTAGGGGATTCTGTCTTCAACTCCTTATCTGTCATTCATTCATTCACAAACATTTACCAAGCGCCTGTCTGATGCCAGGCCCTATGGTAGGTTTGGGACTAAAAGACATAGACATTGTCTTCAAGAAGCTCCCAGTCTGGTGGCCACAGATTTATAAAATCTATGACAGCCGAATGCACTTTAGGCTTGCAGGAGCTCATGTCTTAGTGAATCATTGCCTGGGAACTTGAAGTACTTTATTGAGGCTGATGTTTTTAACCTAGCAGGCTGAGGGCAGAAGAGGTGCCTGGGAAATCTGAGGCTGTGAAAATGTTTAAGCCTGCAAGCAGTTGTCTCCTGCTGTCCTGGGTTGGTTCCAGGGCCTTGGAAAGCTTTTTGAGAGTCCCTGAGTCCTGTTTTGGTCTATTTTTCTCATCTCCATCCTTACCCACTTCCCTCTCTCCTCCTTTCTCACACTCAGCTCGTCAGCTCTCTTAGGCTTTGTCATGGTTCTAGGCTGGGGAGTGAAGGGTGCTGGTGCAGGTGACTGCTGTGTTCTCAGCTGCAGTGAAGGAAGGCTGGGAGGACGAGTGTGCAGGAGGCCTGGCTTCCAAATCCCTTCTCCAGCTTAGGCACAGAGCTTGATCCTCAAGATCAGGAGGGAGATGGAGAACGCTGGCAGATGCTATTTCCACATTGGCAAGTGCGTCTCTCTGGGCCTGGAGTGCTCCCCACCCTCCGCCCCCTCTAGCTTCTGAGCTCCATGAGTAGGATCCCTGGTTGCTTTCTCTTCCCCTGATGGGTGAGTCCCTAGTGCCTGGCACAAGTGAGACATTCCACCCTTCTGTGGGATAAATAAACAGAGCTGGGCACCTGCCGCCCTGCCTGCTGGGGAAGGGTGGCCCGTGCCTAGTTCTGGAGGTGGCTCAGCCCAGCCCCCCTGAGCTCCAGGGCACAGAGGGGACCCTGAACCCAAGTACAATGGAAGGGTCTGCCTGATCACCCAGATCTCAGACTCTTGTCCCCTGTTTGCTCCGGCCATGACACGAGACCCCTGTCCACACACTCCCACTCTCATGCTGTCCACATGCAGTTCCGTCTGTCTGAAACACCTTCCCACCTTCTCTGCCTGGAGAGACCCTGCTCCTCCTTCAAAGCCCAGGGCAGATACGTTTTATTCTGGGATGACCACCCTAGAGAGAACCTATTCCCTTCTCAGCTCCAGGGGTACCTTGTTCATCACCTCTGGTATTATACTCATCACACTCTTTTCTGAGCATCCCCGGGTGGAACCTAGGCATTGCACCCCCCGCCCCCTTAGAGGCTGGCCAGTGGCAGGGGCTGATTAAATGGTTGGAGCTTCTTTGGGGGTCACAGTGACACCAAGTTCCCTCAGGTGGTGATGGGTCCTGGAGAGCTGCAGAGCAAGCAGTGCTCCTTTGCCCATCTTGCCCTCAAGGGACTTTCCATTGTCCACCTCTCTGCTTGCAACCGCCAAGCCCTGGAGGGTACCACTGGGGCTGAATGGGCAGCTGGGCTCCATGTCCCACTCTGGGGTGGACGCTGCAGTGCCCCAGACCCCTGTGCCCTCAGGCCAGCCTGCTGCTTTGCCACATTCCTGAGCCCAGGCAAGCCCTTGAGTCTACCCAGGATGGCACGGATTGGAGGTGGCAGGAGGGAGGACCAGCTTCCCCCAGAGCAGCTGGGAGGGTCAGGTTGACCTCAGGGGTTCATACCTTCTCTGTGGCTCCTGGGGTGTTTAAGCCTCTGGGGCAGTAATGAGTCAAGGCCAGGATGGCCAGTCACAGGGTCCCTGACTTCCCTCTAGGTCTCAGCTACAGAGTAGGGATCAAGGGACACACTTGCTTTGGAGATAGAATTTGGGCTCTGATCTGTGCTTGGGGGCCTGTCCCCAGCTTCCGCTCTCCCTGGGCAAACCAGCTTAATGGGCTCCAGGGAGAACCATTGTTCAGGGGGAGGGCCTGTGGGTAAGGAAGGAGGGCAAGGGAGGGGAGGACTGAGCCTGTCATGACCTGTCCCTGTCCTCTCCTTAGGGCTGGAGCCTCATTAGAGGGGAATAATGGGTTATTAGACACAGGTGGTTTAATGCTAGCTCAGGGCCCAGAACTCTGGATCCTACCCATGCTGCTGCCTCACCTTCAGGGCCCCCTGCCCTCTGTCTCCTGTAAGGTGATGCCCAGTTGCTTTCCTGGGTGGCACAGGGTCAGTGTTGGATATGCCATCCAGATATCACTTCCTAAAGTGGATTCATATTTAGTCACGAGTGTTTTTTTGGTTTTTGTTTTGCAGTTTTTGGCTGGGACTGGGCTTGAACCCACCACCTCTGGCATATGGGGCCGGCGCCCTACTCCTTTGAGCCACAGGCGCTGCCCGTCATGGGTTTTTACATTTATACAGGGCATCATGGTTTACAGCACGGGCATTCAGTCTCTTCACTAACCCTGTGTGTGTGCATGTGGGTGTTATAGAACCTATTTCCACTTATGGGGAAGAAAATGAATAGAAAAGTTGAATTCTCGACTCCATAGCTGATAAATGAGCTGGCCTCTGGCTGTCATCATAGCTCACTGCAGCCTTGAACTCTTGGGCTCAAGCGATTCACATGCCTTGGCCTCCCAAGTAGGTGGGACTACAGGTGCGCACCATGGTGCAGGCCCCTTTTAACATTCTGATGCTACAGTTCCTGCTCCAGTAATCTGCCCTAGAAACTACTCCCTTTTCTGTGGCTCTCCCAAGCGACTCCCCATGATGGCGGCCACAGTTAACCTAAATAACCATTACATACAGGACATGGCTGGACAGGCCCTGGCAGGGTGAGCTCGTGTGCCTCCATCTGGAGTTGTTTATTCATGTCGAGGCCCTTTGTTATAACGTTAAGAGACTGGTTGCCCCAAGGACCGTGGTGCCAGCCTCCCAGGAGACTAGGAGATTGGGGACAGGGCTTTGTGGCAGCAACTCACAAAACTCCCATGTTCTGGGGGGATCATGGGGTTTTCTGCCAAGACTGGGATCAGCTGTGGGGCACCCAGCTTACGTGGCCTCTGTGGAACAATACACCCTGCCCCTCTGATGGCCCCAACGCTGATATCTACAGCTCCTTCCTCCCGTCCCAACTCCAGTCCTGGACTATTGACTTGAGTATAAATTTAGTCTAGAGTAAAAATACTTTGAAGTGATAAGCACGTTAAGATAGGGGGATATTGTATAACCTATGAGAAACAATTGGTTTAATATATACTATGATGGTTAATAACGTTACTGTACTTGTTCTTACTGTGAGAGTATACACTTAATAGAGAGAAATGAGAGAGTAGAGAACCAGAGGACATAGCCTCATTGTTCTCTGAAATTAGACTTTTCTGTAAATAAAAGTAAAACTGATCTCTCATCTGCTTCTCCCTTGAATGGCTTGGGCGACAGGTGAACAGATTCCTTAGTCTGGCAACACCCAGGGCTCCTCAGGGCCACCCAGCAGCAGCTCAGCTGGGCAGGCTGCACTGCTGTGCTCCTCTGCTCTCCTGCAGCCCCAGGGCGTGGGGCTTCCCTGCACACAGGTCGGGCTCATAAGGTGCCTCCTTGGATGGGAAAGCTGATGCTCTGGCTCAATTCCAGCATAAAGCAGGCAAACCCCTCTCCCTTTCTGCCCCTCAACTACTGGAGCACTGGGCTAGCTCTTGCCAGGCTTTTCAGAAGAGTATTGTAAGAAGGACTGGGGCTGGGAGTCAGGAGACAGTCACCTTGAGGGGCCCCTGCAGGTCACATCCTCCTCCTTCTATAGCTATAGCTGTTTCTCTTTCCCTCTAGTTGCTGGGAAATTTCGGCCTCTTGGCCAAGGACTGGATAATGAAGACCCCCTGAATTCCACCTCAGACCCAGCTATTATCTCGTCCTCTCTCCCTGGTCCTCAGTTGTCCTCCTCAAAAGATGGGGTGCATTCTCTTTGCCCTGAGGCAGCAAAGATACTCTAGGTTATTGGTTTTCAACCTGTGGGTCTTGAACTGGATTAAAGAGCCACGGCATTAGGAAGGTTGAAAACCACTGCTCTAGGTATTCAGAAGAGAGGGAGGTGGAGAGGAGGGCAAGGAAATACAGACAGACCAAGTAGATCTCCAAAAACAAAATCCACTATCCAAGCTCACCTACCTAGATCATTGAGGTATCTCTGCATTCTTCTTTAACAAGAAAAGGACTCAGTTTCCCCAGGGAGTGGAAGAGGGCTACCATGGAATCAAAACAGACCCTTGCCCTTGGAAAAATGTCAACTTCTAGTCCAAGTCTGGGAGACAGTGGGCAGAAGAACACGCGGCATTTGGGAGGGAACAACCCGAAACAAGAGCCCTGGCCTCTGTGCCTCAGCTTCTTGGGTGGGCTGGTCAAGGGACCCTTGATAGTAGTGGATGACAGGGCAGGTGGTACGAGGTGTGCAAAGGGCTGGGGTGTGGGGGACAATCAGACGTGACCTCTTTTTTCACTGGGAAAGTATCACAAAATTCTCAGCTGATGACTTCTCAGGTTGCTCAAAAGGCCCTTTATAGGGAAACCCACCCTCCCCTGGTCTTGGGAGCAGAGGGCCCCTCACTCACCATGCTGCTTCCTCTATCTTCTGGATTTCCCCTGTAGCCTGGAGCTGAGATCCGAAACCCAAGTCAGGAGAGGAGGGCCGCCCCACAGGGCCCTGGCCGGGCAGCAGATCAGCAATCCCTGGTCAGCGCTGGCTGGAAGAGGCCTAAGTGCAGGGCAGGACCTGGTCGCTCATGTCCCGCATCCCTGTCACCTTAACAAGCCGTCTGGCTCCTACCTCTGTATTCCAGAAGTGATTTGGGGATTGATTTAAAAAAAAAAAAAAAAACCAAAAAACCCCTAGAGGTGAAGTTGCCGAACTGGAAAGATTATGTGTCTTGTAACCTGACACCGGTCTTAGGGGCTGGGACAACACCTGGAGACATTCCTGGGCCCTTTGGCCTCACAATAGGCGACACGCCTAAGATGTCACAAAAGCCTTCCCGCCTGAATGACTTCCATCCAACCGGGTGGTGGCTGAGGGTGATGTCAGAAGTCACCTCCCCGCCTCCCCCAGTTGCAGTCTCCCTGTGTGTATGTTTTCGTCTGGGGTTGTGGAAAGTCATAGGAGGCTGGGGTTTGGAGGCTAGAACTTGTTCCATAGAATGGGTCATTGCCATGTGCGGAGTGACAGGATTGGGAAGTCCATGGGGGAAGGGGAGGGTTTCTTCTCAAGGAGGTGGAATATACCCACTTCCCTTGGATTCCGAAAGCGAAGCCTTCTTGCACGGGCCGATGGGCAGCACCCTGGCCGGCCACTGTCCCTTCCGACTGCTTCTTGCCCGTCTCATTAAAAATTTTGAAAGTCACTGTTGATGCCCTGGCTGGGGCCGGCGTTTCCTCGTCACAGGATCATTTCTTATTCACATCTTGTCACATCCTGAGGGCTCGAGCTGTCCCCTGGCCAGGGGATGTGCAAGGTGTAAC